GAGATAGATAGATAGATAGAAACAGAATGGGATAGATAGATAGATCGATAGATAGATAGATAGATAGATAGATAGATAGATAGATAGATAAGACGGAAAAATTTTTATAGATAGATAGATAGATAGATAGAAAGAAAGAAACAGAATGAGATAGATAGATAGATAGATAGATAGATAGATAGATAGATAGATAGATAGATAGATAGATAGAAAGAAACAGAATGGGATAGATAGATAGATCGCATTCATTTGCAGTTCATATGATGAATTATTCAAAGAGATTAGATATCATCTAATTCACATGTATTCTTTAATGATCTTCTGTTTCTCTCGGCGTTTTAATTTACAACCTGTATTTTGCTGTTGCTTGGAAAGTCGAGAGAAGTCAATGACACGGCCGCGTATATTGAACAACACGGACATTAAAAAAAAAAAAAAAAAAAAAAAAAGTGTAATAAACATTGGCTTACCTGGTTTTGTATCAGGCTCAAATATTGACTTAGAAGTGATCGGTACGTCCGGTGAATCCTGGCTGCTGTAGTTTTTTTGGGGCGACGAATCGTCCAGCAGACGATAATTGAGAACTCGTTTGAGTTTTATCGTGACCCAGATCATCATGAGCAGCGTCAGAAAAAAAACAGCTGCCTCTATTAAGTACACCATACCGGGCATGATCTTTGCCGTGGCACTGTATATATTCGTAAAAATAGCCGTGCCCAGGAGTTTTGAAGCCGTTTCACCGCATCCAAGCAGTGAAAAAGTCTTGCCGATTTCGTGTTCGGCCACTGTTTTGCTCAGCAACGAACGCAAGGCTGAAATCATCAGTCCGCCCATGGCCCCCAAGCCGATGGAGACGTACATCATCCAACTTTTATTAAGGAAAGCGGCCCAGACTAAACGGGCAACTTTGCAGAAGATGGCCGCTATAATAATCGTCGTGTCGGGGATTTTTAACACGTTCGATAAAAGTGGTAAAATAAAAAAAAGGCAAACACCCATCACGGCATAGTCGATCGAGAGTAAGTAACCGTAGCCAGATTTTGACCAACTAAGAGGGCGATGCTGAACAAATAACACTGTGGTGTCCATTTCACCTGTCTTGCAGGTGATCTGAAGGATGGAAATTAAAAAAATAGTAATGACAATAGACCGGGCCCCGTCTTCACGTTTTCGAAATATCACCATCAAGGAATCTTTCACGTTGGCTAAGTTAAAGAAAGATGAACACTCAAAGGTTTTGTTTTTGGTTTCTTTTACGTAATGTACTGTTTCGGCCAGGAAGAAAACTGCCGTTAAGATGGCAGTGGCGTGGAATAGCGAAACTATACAGAACATTACTTCAATGCCGACCCAGTCAGCCAGAAGGCCGGACAGCAAGGAGCCGGCGAAAAGTCCAAAAAAATTCATAGATAAGATTTTTCCCATTTTCTTTGTTCGTTGCTCTTTTTCCGTAATATCGGCGGCGTAGCTATGGACCGCCATGGTAACCACCGAGCTTTTTCCTAGGGCTCCTTGGAATACACCCCCAACAATTATCAACAGGATACTCCACCGTCTTTCCATCATGCTGCTTATATAGAAGACCACTCCGATGACGCTGCCCATACTCGGGAAAATAATGGGGATCTTGCGTCCGAATTTGTCGCTCCAGGCGCCGAAGAAGAGTCCAAGGACAATAGCCGGGGCGTAGAGCGTGATACGGTGCAGCATGATGTAGAAGGCCGCCGCCGGCTGGACGAGATCTTCAACCGCGGGGTAATAGCCTATCTCCTCGCATACCGTCTGGTTCGCAAAAGGTACGACGTTCATACACGTCGCCTGGATAATGTAGGGCCGGATGGTGGCATCGAGCAACGACTCACCAACTTTGTAAAGAAAGAAGATCAACTCCAAGGTGCAAGTGGAGCTGCGAGAACAAGACTGAACACGGAAGAGCTTCTCCATAGCGTCTGTTAAACTCTCCTTGATTGAACGATCTCTCTCTAAGTAGCTGTCGGGCCGGTCGGTTAAATGGACGCTCGAACTAGCGGGCTAACGGTGGCTGGTACTCCAGTTAGGACACCTCCTACTTTGTATCAACGTAACGGGTATTATTATTATTATTATTATTATTATTATTATTATTATTATTATTATTATTACCGTTGATATTTTTTATTATTTTTTTTTTTTTTAATTTATTCTAATTAAATATATAATTATTTCTTAATAATTTTTCTTAGACAATTTCTTTTTTGATAAGTTAACTCTTCGGGGGTTTTCCTCTGAAACTATATTACAATATTTAATCTTTTACTTACATATATATATATATATATATATATATATATATATATATATATATATATATATATATATATATATATATAATTTTTATTCATTTTTTTAGTGGGGGTGTCTGGTTTAAGTTTCTTTACTGGTTGTAATTTTATGGACTTTTTAAAATTTCTGTGATTGTTAAAAATTAGTCCGCTTTTTTTTAAAAAACTGTTTTTCATTT